CGCGAAACCTCTCTATTACTCACTCATCTTTGTCTTCATCTTCATCTCTATCATTTAACTCACAAATTCAACCCTACTTTAGTTGGTGTCTAAATAACCTTATTTTTATATTAGATCATTGTTGTATTATCTAATTAATTATCTAAACTTGACAAACCTCATGTACACACACACACACACAAATAATTGTATATAAATGTGATTGTACAGCTGTGTGAATGAATTCGCCACTGAAAACAGTCTCTTCGCTGAACGTCTTCTCTTTTTCATATGAACAGAATTATAATCAATCACCAAAATTATGTTATTTGTAGACCAATAACTTCGTTTGTTTCTAAAAAGGGAAGCTTGTCTAAGGTGTAGTTGGTCTAAAACATTCAAGGATTCGATATACTCAAGAGATACAGATTACAGGCCTGGTTATTTGTGTTGTGTTTGCTTTAGGATTATGTAAATCACTTTCACCAATTTTTTTAGAACAATTAGTCCTTTGTAAAAAAAGTAATATTTGTAAAATCTCAGCGATATTGAAATGAGTAATTCCAACGTTTCGTTCGGAAATCTGGTCTTGAGATTTTACAAATATAATTTTTTTACAAATGTCTACTCCTCACTCGGCGCCCAAATATTATAGAACTATTCTGTTAAATCTTGACTACAGTTCATTTGATTTACAATTAGTCCCTTTTATAAATTTTGATAGCGTTATTAGTAGATGGAGATTATCTGAAAAATGTGATGTGAGACAAAGGTTGAATTCGATCATCCGTAGAACCTACTATGCAACCCAGCTTGTAATTGTGGAAAAAGCTAAAAATATGCTTCACTGTAAACCTCAAAAGTGCACAATTGATTATATCACATCCCACACAATTTACCAATTTTCGTGTGTGTGTGTGTGTGTGGCCATACATACATTTTTTTCCTTCACGTTGCCCAGTGGAACATAGGGCTTCAAGCTAGTGGCTTGAAGTTTCTTTAGCATTGTATATTTTATAGGATTGGGTTGCTAGCCTCATGCCCAAACTTTCCTCTTTACCAGCATTATTTCTGGCTCAGCGAGGTAAAGGAGTGCGTCGGCTGGGAATCGAACCCAAGGCCATGTGCCCGGTCGGCGAGCGTCCTAATCGCTATACCACCGACGCGGACATACATACATAGGGAGGAGTAATCGCGCTTTGCACGTGAGGGTGGGAGAGCATATCCCAAAATGGTTGGAAAAACAGATGAATTGTGACAAGCCAATAGATGCAGGTGTCAGACTACCAACTCTGTCTATAGCTAAACATCTAATCGGGACGAACCATAAGATTGATGTTAACTCAGCCTTTAAGGTCATCTATAAAAACTGTCAAGGACGTTTACTGAAATACGCTGAGGCTCTAGCTATTCATAAACTCTGTGTATTCAAAAACAGTTTGTTATTACTCTTAACCTACCTTGGTAATCCTTATTTGATTGGATTACCAAACGTTTGTGTTAATATTTTCCTAATTCTTTTTTTGTCACTGTTTAATTTAACTTTTCCATATATATTGACTTGACAAGTAAGTGTGTTATCAGACTGTTCGAAATGTATAGCGCCAATTATTATCTACTGCTGCTGAGTGGTTAATTGTAGTTTTCCCCGTCGCCAGTAATGTTATATGTACTCGTCGAGTAGCTAAAAGTCCTGACGCAGAAAGAGGGAAATCAGAAGACCACCAGGTTTACGATGATACTTGTATTTTCCAGACAACGAAAATAAGTGTCACATAAGAGTGTGAGTGAAATGGTACGTAGTGTACGAAACAAGTATGAACAAGTATACAGTACAAAAGTATATATGAAAATGACTAATACACATGAACCAATAAATAGACAGTCTTACCATGATTGGTAGTAATGTCATGTGATAACAAGGTCATACATGTTTATTTAGTTAGTGGACAGACAAAAGCATATTGTCAGTTATAATGAAATATGGATCCATATATACATAGCAAAATAGACTATCAAAACAAAACACACATCATGTGGATACATATCACCAATACATCACATTTTTTAGATAATCTCTGTCTTCCAATAACGGTATCAAAATTTTTTAAAGATTTATTTCCAGTTTATTCTAGAAAAAATAGCTGAAGATTTGACTTTCACTCACATGTCCACGTGACTCTTCGTTATATATTGTCTAATTCGTAAAAGTATTTTTTTACTTCGAGTATTATTCAACTTTTTGGGATTGTAGTGTTCTGCATTGAATTATTAGGGATTTACCACAAGCTGATATCAGTTAAAGAAGCATTGGAAAACTAACTTGGAGTACTGGACATCGGTTTCGTCCTAGTTTGGGACTCTTCGTCAGTATTCACCCACCTCGTTTTGAACTCAAAACCTTCTGGTTACAAGGTGAACTCGTAAGCTGTTGAAACACTGATGCTCGGCCTAACAGTTGATGAATTTCAACTTGTGTCAGTTTGTGATATATATTTAACGGAACTGCCAGCCAACCAGTGTTCCAGGTGAGTACCTGTCCTCTCGACTGACTTGATAGACAGATCCTTCTCACTTACTTCCTGTGTATAGAAGCAGTCGCTAGTGAACATTAAGTTAATAATAAAGTGTCGGTTTGTTGAGGTGTAACTGGACACATCTTGGAAAAGCTGCTTGAGTTTCTCATAAGGGTTGTAAAGAAGGTAAATGTGTTTGTTATGGGTCAATTATTCTTAGCTTAGTTATGCATATTTTAGCTGGAAATTTTTTATCAGTTGTTATGATCAGGGTTCCAAGTGGTACTGAATTCTCTAAGTGGACTGAACTAACAGTATACAATTCAACACTCAGAGAATGCAACACACATGGCTTCATACTTGAGGTTTGAAGTTTCATTTGTAGTGATACTTTTTTCTCTCTTTCTACGGAGTTGCTAGCCTCAATTTCAACCTTCTGCTTTTCCTAGACTTAATACCCGTTGGCTGAGGTTTAGTAGGGTATCTTCTGAGAATCAAACCTGGCCCATGTACATAGCCATAAAACTATCCACAATAATATTTAAGTGGGATAGATGAAAGTTAGGCTTAAAGTGTTTCGTGGCATTTCTACTCTACTGTGTTGTAGACCATTAGGCATTTGTGCATACTTTATTCCTAGTCAGATCCTAAAATATATGATCAAGTGTTTGATGAAAGCAATTTGTTCTCTAGATTTATATACTTCTGTTAGTAAGTTCAGGAGTGCCATAAAAGCACTAAAACGTTTGATAATTTAAGCGGGTTATTAAATGAGAAGTGATGTTATATATGCGCACTATCTTTTAGTGTGATCATTCGAGTGGGATGTTTACTTAATATATTAGTGTATTCACTATTAGATTTTTGAAATCATTTGAAATCCTAAATCAGAAAGACAAATCGCTTAGAACTTGTGATGTAGTGGTTAGCGCGTCGGTGGCACAGCGGTTAGGACACTCGCCGACCATGCACATGGTCCGGGGTTCGATCCTCCTCCGACGCACACCTGATATCAATTGGTTGGCCTGCAAAATCGGGCTACCGATATCACATGCTGAAAATTCCATACTTGTACCGAAAATACAGTGTGAAATGGAGCTATAAAAAAGTACTGCGAATCCAATGACCCGAATTTTTGTTGCAGTTTAAGGCCTTCAGTGAAGCACTACATTGGTGATTCAATGATAGGTTGTTTGCCAACCATCCACATGGTCTAGAGTTTTGTTCCCAGCTAACGTACTCTTTTTAGAAAATTTAGAAAGAGGGAAGTTTAATCGTATGGCTCAAACAACACCGCTTCTACTGACACTTCTTCAAAGCCTGTTCCACTTAGAACGCCGCATGGTAAAGGATGGTAAGCAAGAACAATGTAGGACCTCTATAATCACCTGCAAATCAAAATACTAGTAATAACTCCATTATGGATAAGATTTCATTTTGATAAATCACACACTGTTGTACAGTGATATTACTTGATGACGTTTAGAGCGAAAACTATTGCCACTCATAATTATATCAAGTTACTACTGACACAACTTTTTTAGTGTGTGGATTGATTAGATGTTTGAATAAAAATTCGATGTAGGATAATGTACATTCAGAAATAATAATACGAGTGTTATTGAACAATTACAATCACATGGGAAATAAGACGAGTGTTTTTATAGTCATAATAGGTTACGTGTTAGAATGTTGTGATGTGCTTGAATTGAAATAGAATTTTAAGATTATTTATTATCCTCCTCTGATTTGACCGGCGGTAATAATATCTTGCATATTTCTGGAATGTGCATTGAATCATTTCTGTTGCGTGTGTTGGGTGTAGATGAACATGGATTCAGTAATCAATCTCTCTCTCTCTCTCTCCATCTACATGGATTACTTCTTAGAATTCTAACCTTCTCCCACCCTATTGTGTGGTTGTGTGCTAATGCATGCAGTGCAATTGTTGAATATTTTTCTAAATTACTCATCTGTCTACGCGGGGTCAACCATTCTTACCTTAGCTAAATTCTTATGTTCCGACAATCTGACTACCCCGCCCGATCTACTAGTTGGACGTATATAGTTGACCTCACAGTCATTGCAAGTTATTTTGTAAATTATATTGTTTTGTCTAATTGGGTCAACCGTTAGGCTCCTTTAACCTACAGACCTTGTCCTGCCTGAGTGAGTGAGTTTGTAGGTTTGAATGCCACACATATAATATGTATAAATGAAAGAAAAAACGTTGTGTGAGTAGTGCCTTGATATGATTTATGAGTGGCAATAGTTTTTTATGCTTGAAACGTGGTCACATCAGTTAATATTACTGTACAACACTACACTGTGTGACAATTTATCAAAATAAAAATCTTATCCATAATGGAGTTATAATCTACCAGCACAGTGCCCAAGTTTTATATACTTATATCAATGAAGCTAGTTGAGTTCTATGAAACACAAAAAGACCAAAACGAACGATTAGATGAAGTGTATTAAATATGCATTAAAGAGTTTACTTACCAATGGAATAATAAGTGATTGACACAATATCCCACATAATATAGATTTTGGTTCATGCAACTGTTCCCTTACTAAGATTGGATCATCACAACAACCGACCGATAGAGAAAGCATAAAAGCTATTACAGCTGAACTCCAATCTGAAGCTAGATAGAATTTTTGTGGTCTTAATAAAATTGTTAACCATAGATAGGCTTTCCATGTACCATTCAACGCATTATTATTATTATGATTGTCATCATATTGTAGATCAGAAGCAGAAGATGAAGGTACAAAGATCCCTGCCTCAGTAATTTCTATTTGTTTTGAATCTAATGGATTATTGACCAGTTTATTGGCTAATTGATATTGAGTTTGTTGTTGCAATTGTTTTTGATGTTGTTTCATATATCCTGGACTTGTCACTATTGTTGTTGTCGTCGTCATTGTTGTAGTTTTCGACGTCGTCGTCGTAGTAGTAGTACTACTACTCTGTTGATCATAATTATAATGCTGATCGTCTAATATTCCAAATGAATCAGACATTTTTGTTAACATGTCCACCTGTTTTCTTGATGTACTATTCATCCATATTAATGTGGTTGTTATCCGACTATGACCTAAATTCTCTGCGTGTACATAAAATCCATTCGGTGCATTACATTTCACTTCGATATATAATGTAGTACAAATAGAATTATAATTATTATAATAATAAAAGAAGAATAACTATTATAATTACTACCTTCATTAAACATAGTAGTTGTATTATCACAATGGTGTAAATGTCGATTAGAATGAGTCTTTTTCGATAGTGATAAAGCAATCACATGATCATTTGATGATGTAATCTTATACAGTAGAGTTGTCATACTTGTCTCTGTATTATTATTATTATTACTATTATGCTCTAAGGATTGATGAGTTGTAGGATGAGTAGTGCTAGTTGTTGATGCTGATGATGACGATGATTGTATTAACTGTGTGTTCGTGATACGTTTCCATAAATCTGAATATATACAACAACATGTACAAGTTAATTCAATCCATTGATATGTGCCTACACTTAGCACTGGTGATTGTGGCGTATGCGGGAACTGTGTATCCTCTTTATGCTGAATATCTGGTTTCATGCTCAATTGAATACTATACTCCACTGTACAATTTAACCGGTTAAATAAATTTGAATAACTTTTAGGCAATGAGGTAGATGATGAGTTTCTCTCATCAGCATTCAGTACTACTGAGTAGAGCAACATAATATAAGGACAATAAGTCAAGATAACCTTTAATGAGCATATGTTAGTTGCTAGGATCACTGTCATCGTTTTTAGCATTATTTTTACGTCTTGAATATATTTGAACAAGGTGTATGCATGTAGGTGTGCAGGTTTAGGGAGCAGCAAAGTATTAATCGATTATTATTATTATTCCAATGACACACTCCTAGCTTTATCCTTCCAGTTCATTCCTATTTGGCGCAAGCTTATTTGTACTGATTAGTGGTAAAGGCTATTTGTCTCTTCATGATGTTAGTGTTTTTTGTTGTTGTCGTCGTTGTTGTTGTTAAGGCTCTCTCCTCTATATTATTTGAGTTCATGGCAAATTGAGTTGTTTTTTTACATTTTTCTTCTTTTTGTGCATAGAGAACACGTCTCAACGACTTACTTACTCATGTGTAGAAGTTGTACATGGGTATGTATGTATGTTGTGCTTGTGTGTGCGTGTGCCTGTGTCCCCCCTGTGTTTTATACGCCTTATAAATAAATATGCTGTAATGATACTTTGATAATATGATGAATAGATTTCATTTCTGAATAAATTTCTTTCTATTGTCTTTGGTTTTCAGTTGTATTTATTTGCTGTTTTCTTATTTTATCAATTTTCCTCACATTTCATGACTGTTTCATAAAAGGCAACTAGCTTACTGTTTCAAATACAACATGAGGTCATTTATTAATATATTAGTGATAATAATAAGAATAATAATACTAACGTTGTTTGTTGTTTTCGTCCACATCTGTGCATGTGTGTCTCTCTCTCCTCCTGGGCGTGTGTGTGTGTGTGTGTTTTGTGATATAATTAGATGAGATCAAATAATCTAATTTGTGTGTAGCTAAATGCTGCTAATGTTAGGGAGTGTGTGTGTGTGTTATGCAATACACCATTAGACTTCCTTTGTGAAAAAATAATAATATACTAACGTATGCTTGATTTTCTCCTGTTTTGCAAAACAACCAGCCAATCACTGATTCTATATTCTTTTCTTTATTTTTGTCCATTTTCCATATGGCCTTAAAAAGTGAGGGGGTGGATGGGGGTATGGATGCATAACTACTGGACAATTTTAGGAAAAGAGATACCTTGCCTATCACCACGTCATTTCATTATCCTGGAATACAGACACAATTATATATATATAGATATACAGACGGGTACACATTGCATCATGATTTTGTTTCACTGAAATAGCCTATTTTGTGAACCTATTTTTAAATAAATGATCCATCCTATCGATTTTTACGATACATTTGTGTGTCCTTGAATGAAACAGATAGTGATGATGACTGGGTTTTTGGTGTAGTTGATGGTGGTGTTTTTGTTTTGTTATTCCTCTGTGAATTAAGAATATTTGGGCTTATTTGTTTCTTCTGTTAACTGAATGCTAATCTGAATGTGTGTTAATGCTAGAAATGTTGAACACGAGTGTCCTCTTTTTATGATTTATTATTCTTACTATTAATATTTTTCTCTTCTGGGGGTTCCCAATGGAATACACAGGGTTTCAACAGGGCACATTTTCATTTTATGCTGTTCTCCGTTGTCCTCTTTTAATTGGTTCCGCCATTGTCCATAGACTGAAATCTCCCACTCGCCATACAATCTTAACCCATGTCAACCTTGGACCAACGTCCAACTCTTTGTTTTCCATTCGGGTTCTTTTTCGAACGACGACCTAGCCCAGCCTAGCATGCAATGACATCCAACGGTCATCTCAACGTGTTTATCTCCTCTGTATCCCTTTATTAACATGAGAACTGTTTACGAAAATGTGATGGTATTTTCCCATCCTGATAGTTCAACACTTAGGGTTGTCTTTTGGATGAGGCTAGGTTAGATTGGGATACGAATACGGTGTACTGTCTGCTGTTTTCGCATGCGTCGTCCGAGACTGTTTGATAGGTACTTCTTTGCAATTGCCAGTGAATGTATGAAGGGAAAATGAGAAGTACACTCGTCTGTGATTATCTTCAGAAGGTCTTGGGTTCGAACCCTCTTTGGTGGGTACGTATTGATGAAGAGTCTCAGGCTAGGACGAAACAGCTGTCCAGTACTCACAGTAAGTTTTCCAATGGTTCTCTAACCGATGTCAGCTCATGATGAAATCCTGTAATCAAAAAGTAGATTTGTTAATCTTATTCAAGTAATCAGTTTAATGCCTAGTGTGCAGCTGCGTTCTATGATCATTACTCACTTGCTTCACACTTTGATTCACAATTCTATGTATATAATTCGACTTTATATCTACTGTATTCTTGTATCACTTGTATTCAATTTTTAAAATTAAATCAATAGTTAAATTAATCAGCAATATTCTCTCTCTCTCTGTGTTGTATTGTTGTGAGACATGGTCATTAAAAGTGGAAAATAAGAAAAGGCTCGCTGCCTCTCAATCACAGATGTTTGCATTCCATCTCCCGTGTTAAATGGCCAAATGTGCAAAGAATGAGGTGAGGAAGGCAAATCAATCGATTAAATTGTGAAGTGACATCGATTAAAGGTGTCAAGGAAATGTGTTGCACATACCAAGCCACTGGCTTCTTTGAAAAGCCAGTGTTAACTGAAAAGTTGGAGCTGGTCACACCGAAATCTGGAATCATGAAATTATGAAATCTTTGACTGTTGGTTTGAGTCAGCTACATAGGAAGATGTAGACTGTCTGGTTGAGGTCCTCGGTATGCCTAAGAACCAATTGCTGGAAACTGTTGGTGATAAGGCTAAAAATAGTTTTTCAATGTCGAAGGTTCATTCACCCTTTTCACTGACTCCTCATGTTTCTACTCTCTCCTCCGTGCATTTCTCATTTTGTTATATTTCTTTTGAATTTTTCCTCTTCTTTTCACTGTTTATCTGTCTGTTTTCGACATAGAACTTTGCACATATGTGCGGAAGTTCAAGTCGCCACACTCCGTGTAGCACACAAAGCAAGAGAAGAAAGTACAAGAAAAGCATAATAGAGACGGTAAACAGAGGTGTGAGACAAAGGAATAGTAATAACGAAGAACCACGTAGTTTCATTGGGTATTATAAGTCACAAAGAGTGGATGCATCTGCACTAGCCATTGAAAAAGCCATATCACCAATAGTTTCCAGCCGTCATTGGTTTTTACCGTCCCGAGGATCCTAATCAGGAAGTCTGCACCTTCCTATGTGGCTTAGGCTAACTGTTGTAGATTTCATTGACTGGTGAAGCCATGTTTTGGTTTGATCGCTACTGGTTCTTTACCAGCTTGACCCGATGTCAGCTAACATTGCCCGTCAGTCGAGGAAGGCATACATAACACATGTTCTTACCATCTCGTCGTTTGATTTCCCTTCCCACCTACCTAGCACTTGACGCCTAACCTCAATATTGCTCACCTTATTATGCCACTTCACACGGGAAATAGAGCGCAGGGACCTATGATCAAAGACAGCTAATCTTTTCATGTCTTCCACTGTCGATGGCTAGGTCTCACAGCCAGCCATAAAGAAGGACGGAGCGGACTGATGAGCAGTACACCCGCCCTTTGGTCGATAGTCGAACATCTCGTCTACGCCAGAGTCGGCGTAAACTGGCAGATGCGAAACGAGCCCCCTGTATTCGTGCTGAGATTTCGTCAGAGATCAACCCGTTGGCGTTGGCTGATGGTACTTCCCAAATAAGTGAAGCGGTCAACGTGCTCTACCACTTCACCCCCTATTTCAATCAATTCTATGTCAACCAAAAGACTCAACAACGAAAGAAGACAAAACCAACATCATCTACAAAATAAACTGTAACAACTGCGAAAAACACTACATCGGCCAAAGTGGACGTCCTCTTCGTCTTCATATCCACATAAGCTAGCCGTCAAAAGACATGATATCCACTCCCTCATTTCACTACACACAGACAACTACGGACATCAATTCGACTGGGACAACGTTCAAATATTAGACAAAGGAAATAACAAGAATGCTAGAGAATTTTTAGAAGCTTGGCATTCCAGTGGATCATCAATCAATAGACACATCGAGATAGACAAAATTTATCAACCAATAAGAAAGAAACTTCACACACAAAGGGTCAAAGTTCAAGTCAAAGAAACAACCGGTTCCAATACAAGTAACCTAGAAGGTGTGAAAACACACAAACAACCAATCACGTCCAAGGTCACCAGGAGAGATGATTAATAAACTCGTGGAGAAATCTAAAAGCTCACTTCAAATTGAAGTATGCGCTGAAGATGTCACCCAGTAAGGTGATGAAAGCTTCGCAAACTAACCATCCAGCTCAGAGAACAAAACCACATCAAAAAGAGTGATCTAACATAGAAACAAGGTTAATTAGATGGCAAGTCAAGTAAGATTAAGTTAGTAAGTTAGATGACATAATATATATAACTGACTAAAATGTTCCAACTTAGGTCAGGGTAGTAACAGAGGTAATTACAGGTAGAGACTAAGTAGAAGTGGGGTAGAGAGTAATACCATTTAAATTAGGACTAAAATTGAGCAAATATATTGGATGCCGTAACATAAATGACTAGTAATTGAGCGTTGGTGAAGTCAGAAACAGTGGTAATCAGGTGTAAAAATTAAATCGGGTGGGGGTAGAGGACAGAAAAGTTGAAAATGTGAAATGTCGAAATTGAAAAGACAAAATAATACTTATAAAGAGACAGAAAGAAGTAGAATTTATCGGGCAAGTATTAAGATAGATTACGTCCATTGCAAGTGTAGTGATTGAATGAACTTCTTCTGTATGCAGAGTTCAGGAATTAGCAAGTGAATTGCCACTGCTTCTGTAGTTTGAAGAAGCGTGATTTGTACACTCGTAGGAAGACTGTTTAATATCTATTATTCTGTCAGTCAGTTGGCAAATGTATTTCTAACAAAATAAATAAACTGGTGACACATTTTTAATGAAAATATACCCGTATACCCTCCTGTTGTATCTTGCCGTGGCTTCTTTATGTCATGACATTTGCAAAGTATTTTTTTACTGGTGATATTTATACCGAAAGTCGAGCTACTAACTAACTGCCCCAGGACAAGTGTATATCTACGTTGAAAGTATGATTATTTTTATAAATGAAATCTTGTGTTACTTTTCCAACAACTTCTGGATATAAACTTGATTTTAAATAAAGCAAGAACAAGATTTTGTGCAGAATAATCTATCTGTCTGTCTGTTTTCGACATAGAAATTTGCACAAATGTGCGGAAGTTCAAGTCGCCACACTCCGTGTAGCACGCGAAGCAAGAGAAGAAAGTATAAGAAAAGCATAACAGAAACAGTGAGCAGAGATGTGAGACAAAGGAGTAATAAAGAAAAACAAAACAGTTTCATTGGAGATCATAAGTCACAAGGAGTGGATGCATCTGCGCCACTGAGAACGATTTTGAGCCATGTCACCAATTGTTTGCAACCATAGATTTTTACCGTCCCGAGGACTCCAGCCTG